ACGTGGTAGTCTAACCGTTTATACTGCATAACAAACCCCATGCATAAATGGTATAAGGAAAAGATATATACGTACGTACATATGTACATACAAAATAATAAGTGTGGCATGTAAGGTAAATATACCAAGTAAGGAAGAATGTGGAGATATAATAGTAAGTTTATGCATAAGGATGAGTGACAATAGTAAAAAGGGGCGATGCAAAGATAAATTAACTGAAATAGATCTGAATAATATGGAAAATGGAAAATATAAAGAAGGAAAGCTATAAAGAACTTACCGTAACGATATTAAATCCTCATTGAAACATCATCGTATGTTTCATGCAGATGTGCTGAAATAGATACGAATAATAAGAAGAATGGAAAATATAAAGAAGGGAAACTATAAAGAACTTGCCGTAGCGATATTAAATCCTTATTGAAACATCGTATAATTCATGCATATTATTAAAATATAATCTAAAAATCATACGATTAGCTCAGGTTAAAGGAGAACTTATCATTTCGATATTTAGTCCTTATTGAAGAAACGTTATACGATTCACATATAATATCGTTCTTAGTCCTAATTATCTAAAAATCATACGATTAAATGGAAAATATAAAGAAGGAAAGCTATAAAGATCCCGCCGAAGCGATATTAAATCCTTATTGAAACATCATCATATGATTTATGCAAATGTTCTGAAATAGATCCGAATAATAAGGAAAATGGGAAATATAAAGAAGGGAAATTATAAAGAACTTGCTGTAGCGATATTAAATCCTCATTGAAACATCGTATAATTCATGCAGATATTATTAAAATATAATCTAAAAATCATATGATTAGCTCAGGTTAAAAGAGAACTTAACATTTCAATATTTAGTCCTTATTGAAGAAACATCGTACGATTCACGTATTATATCGTTCTTAATCCTGATTTAAATTAGATTAAATGTTTGTTCAATAAATAAAATTATGTATATAAAGAGCTCATTCTGACCTTTAATAAAGATTAACATTATCTTGTTTCATTTTTCATACGTTTTTATTTGTATTCTGTAATAAATCAAACATCATTAAAATTCCTATTTTTTTAAAAAAGTATGGATAGTAATAGTGAATACATCTCTGAAGTTGATCAAATCTCTGATAACGATATTCAAGAGGTCGTTGAATCTTCTACTAGCGTAACCAGAAGAAAAGCCGTCGATAAACCAGCTGAAGAATCAAGTGCAAAGAAGATTCGAGTAAATTTT